AACCGCTCCCCCATTTTTAAGGCAGATTAACAGGTATTTGAAGGTCAAAATTCTACCTGATAAACAGATGTTCAAATTTATCATACAAATAAGCAGTTAAAAAATCATACACTGTGATTTCTTGATTTTTTTTTAGATTATGTCTCTCACAGTGGACATGCACTCCATGATTTCTAAGTGGGATAACTTGCAAAATGGAAGGGATTTCAAATACTTATTTCCTCACTGTAAGTAGGGTAGCACTGCTGCGGATTGGTTTTATTTTATTTTTTTAATGACTATGACCTGGATGACTGAGAACCTTCACCAGCATGATGAGTTTGAATGCATTTAATGCATCGATTTCCATTAAAATTGCTTTTTAATTATCCTGTTTGTTTCTTTGCTAAAGACAGAGACAGAAGCTGAGCTTGTGAGTATGAATATAATTTCCAGTTATACTGACTAAGATTTAATACAGAGAACCATGCATATACATAACTTTATAAATACAAGGGGACGATACATATGCAAATGTATGCACTGGCTCCCACACAGTTTCCAGTCATACAGTTTTACAGTTTAATGCATTTTTCCTCCAACTTACAGTAAAAAAACACAAACACACACACTGCAATGCTAACTTTTACATTTGTCTCTTCGTAAGAACTCTCTGTCTGAGAAATGCCTCCTGCATCCCCTCTGGCTTCAACCTGCGATGGGTTCCTGTCATTATGAAAGATATAAACCTTGCATAGCAATGATTCATAGATGTGAAAATGAATCTGTCAGTAAAAGAGCACAACACAATCTTTGACAATGTGATATTTCAACACATTTCTGACTTTCACCCATGAATGGTTGGTTAATTAAATGATTGCAGAGCACTCTCTGGCTTCTATCAGAATATTGGCAGTTCCTCATGTCAGTGTTCACCCCCTTTCTATCTACCCTCAGCTATCCTTACAAAGTATTCACAGCTTTTGGAAAACTTTCACATTTTGTGATGTTGCAACAACACACTGCAGCATATTATATTTGGATTTTATGTGACATAACAATTAGAGGTGGTTAGTAACAAGTTACATTTATTCCGTTAGGTGTACTTGAATAGTGTCTTAAATATTATTTACTTGTAGGACAAATGTTACTGTAACATACTTTTTACTTTGACTTGAAGGTATAGTGGAAGATTTTTGTGATTCTTTTAAAAGACCCGCCCCCTCCACTTAAAAAAAAAAATGCATGCACAACGCTGTACCCTGAGAGGAAACGCCTATTAAACCTGTGCACGAGCCCATGTCTCTGGATTTCTCCAAATAGCATGCCAAACTTTTCCTGTCGAGTAGAAACTTCGCAACTGAGGCACCAGTGGGAAGCCCAACCTGTGCTTTCCGTGTGGGCTATTGCCCAGAAATCTCCCCAAAACACTCTGGTCTTGTTCCTGTCTTCTGAGGGCTTTTTCTTTTTCTCATACACTTCCTAGACACTTTTTCTCTTGCAACCCTCGGCCATTTTCAAAGAAACGCAGTGAGAAAGGTGAGCTTCAACAACTGGCTGAAACTGTACCTCAGCACACATATACACCTGAAGGTGTGCATGCACAGAAAAAGATAGCTACCTGGGGACAAGCAAGCAGGACGGCCTTACACTGACATATCACCAGAATGATTGACAATTAGGAGGACCACTTATTTAAATGATCAACCCGGAAAAAGGAAATCCTCCACTATGCCTTTGATTCATATTATTAAGATGTACTCTTAATAGAGTACTACTCTATTCACTGTGAGTAATTTCACTGTGACCAGACTGTGATTGTTAAAGTTTATGTTTTGATAAAAATTCTTGTAAACATTTTTTTTATTTTTTTATGTGGATTTTTTTGGATTCTGCTGTGGCAATTGGAGGTCAAGCGAATTTATTATAGTAGATTTTGGCAGATGGCAGCTCACACTGAGACTGGTTCTGTTGGAGCTTTTTTCCTTTCCGCTGTCGCTCCATGCATGTCGGTTTGAAGGATTGCTGCGGAAGCAAAGAGAAAATTCAACCTTATATCTGCTGCTGCCCCATGCTTATCCAGGAGGAGCAATATCCTGCAAGTCAATGAGTCGTTGCAATCGGCTGAGAACATACATAGAAAACTTGAACCAATCTGACTGTATGATCGGGCTGAATTGTTTATCTATCAATCAAAATAAACTGAACAGAATTTTGTCAGTGATCTTATTAGACTCTAACATTTTACACTGTTAGAGTCAAATAAGCGCTTTTATATGGTTTACATCTAAATACAATTTTAACTTTTTTTTCTGACTGAATTTATTTCACAATCATATAATTGATTCATTTTGTTCTATTAAATACCATACTGCACATAACTTTGGATTGTTGCCTGTCATTATTTACTCTAGAACTTATGTAGGCATTTTATAAAACAAATAATCAAATAATTTCTTGGATGGCTACTTTACCTGAGTAAAAATACAGTATGTGAAAGGTGGGCTACTCTTAGATGTGTGGAATGTTTGAATCCTCTACCCTCCTCTACAAACAGAAAGTATTGTAGGACTGTAAATTAAAATAAATATGACAAAGGGTTTTGAAAGTGTAAAAGAAGATCTGGAAAGTGTTGCATTCATTTGGGTTCACCTTCTATTATCCTTAAACTCCTAAGGAATTTGTTTTTTTTTATCTTTGAATAATTTAGTAGTGAATCAAGGTTTCTTTCTCATCAACCGTGTTTGCTAAACATATAGAAAAAAGGGAGTAGCATAAAAAAAATGTTTTGCATTTGCCAAAAAAAACACCCAAAACAGCACAAACATTTAGTTAATGGAATGTGACACAGTATTATAAAAAGCTAAAATGATCTCATCACGTTTGTTTATTGGAACAAATCAAGGTTTCTTAGCATCTTAAAAAACATTACTATAGGTTTTAATTAAATAAATGTTAATTTTGCATCTGTGTCAGTTCTTCTTTCCATGATGGCTGAAGGTAGGAACCTGTTCAACACCTCTGACAATGTAGATTCTTTTTATTATTAAACTTTTCAGAAAGCAATAGAACTTTACCATAATAGCCTCATTGATGATTTTAGATTACCCTAAATAGATGAGCCACATGGGGAGAGCTGGAAGTTCTTCTGCCTTGTTTGGTTTAGTTTTCCTTGTGTCTAAGGGACTTTTTTAAGAGTTCCACCTAATATATTTTTAGCAACAACTAATGTGGTCTGTGCTCCTTTGTCCTGCGTTGAGACAGTGTGTAACAAGTGCTTTGCAAACATTAAGATAACATTAGTTTATGCCTGTTTTTCCAAACCAATGTGATACCTGTTTATGGTCGAGTTCTATTGTGAGGCCTATAACTTACAATTCCCTAACAAACCTTGAGATTAGAAAGAGAGATCTTTTTGATTCTAGTTTACAGGAGTTGATTACCAAAACTATTCTAGAAGTTGTCTTACTCTCTTTATAAAAACAAAAGGAAATACTTGGCAGGCATTTTAATTGCCTTCACCTGTTTGTCTGCCAGTATACCTTCAACCAGCCAGAGGTCAAACATGGATCCAGATAGAAAATTTTAATTTAGCTGGACCCTATGAGATATAAAATAAATTTTTGTGTACACATAAAAAAATAAAACAAAAACGCTCAACGTAGATCCTTGGTTTATTAAATATTACCTGAATTTAATTGAAGCATAACATCCACTTGCTCTGGAAAAAAAGCAAAAGCAAAAAAAAAAAAGTAACAATATAACCACCTACTTTTTCAGGCTTCAAGCATTTAACTTTGCAGTATTGTTATAGCTTGGTTAGTAAGAATACCATGCTGACATTTTTGGTATCAGGATGCCAACCTTTTGTATTAATTTATAAACTAGACATGTAGATATAACCATGGAACAGCAACATTTCTACAAAAACACCCTTGAAATATGCAATTTCTTGCAAGGAAGATGAATTGTGGCAAGATTTGTAAATTCACAAACTCCTGAAAATACATCTTGCCAGAGGCAAACAGATGCATTAGCCTCAATACAGAGATGTTTCGGGGCAATGAATTGCAGTGATTATTTAGCCATCAACATCTCAACCAGAGCTAGAAGGCTGAAGCAAAACAAACATGGTTACGGCAGTTTAAGCTGGAATACCCTCTGTTTTGTTTTTAAAAATGAACAAAAGGATATGACTTTTGCCTTTGTGGATGGGAAGATGTTTGCCTGTCCTCCGAACAGATTTGGCAAGAGTTTGATTTATCTTCTAAAATGGCAAAGCTGCTACTGCTGCTGTGATTGGCTAAAAGCTCAAATGGGAGGCAGGTACCACTTGATTCATCAAATCAGCTTGAAGAATGGTACTGAATGTCCTTCGCTTTTAGAAACACTTTCAACAGGAGGCTTTGCAGATGGATACGTGTGTTTCAATTAGAATTCAAATCAGTGTCCATCAGGCTTATGCCAGGTTAGCAATCTGAAAGAAAACAGAATCTCTAGGGATGGATGGATGGATGGATGGATGGATGGATGGATGGATGGATGGATGGATGGATGGAGGCCTTGGACTTCATCCTTTTCTAGATGTGTCCAATAATTTATGAAATAATTTTCTTCGTTTCATTAGATAATCATAAAAATTCTAAATTCTAAACATAAAGAGCTACAATTGAACATGCTGAACATACAGTGTTATCCACACCTAAACCAGACACTAAAGGCTCTTGATTATCTCTGTGAACAGGAAACGCTTGGCTTGTACTGAACAGCAAATATTTAAAGGAGTGAGTACACTTCAGAAGTATGAAGGCTGTTCTTCTTTACTGGAAGTGTCGATATAAAATGTAATGAATCTACAGCGCCTTCATTAACTATCTGCTCTATAAACATGACCACTAAGGTGAATTCATGGTGAGTCACCACATGATGTAAATTCAAAATTCATAATTAATAACCCACACACTAATCCCCTCCTGTTATAGCATTACAAGAGAGCATCCATGCTGTGTGAATTCAACACATCATTCTGACATTTTATTGAACTTTTCTTCACAATCGGGAATTCAAAATCAATCAGGGAAAGTCATTCCAAGAGGATATCACATGTATCATAGCAAACATGGCTCCTACGTCTTTCCACAAGCGTTTGGCACAAGGTACAAAGTGTGGGTGTATCTCAGAGTGTGGTTTGCCAACAGGCAGGTTACAGGTCAATGAATGTAAAAAGGAAAGAAAGCATCCAAAAATATCAATAAAGGGGCAAGTTCACACGGCACACTCTACTACACTAGGTGGACAAACATCAATAGAAACTGAAGGTTCGTGATTCACAAACTGTGCTTTGGGCAATGGCAATGCTAAGCAGTGTTGTGCATTGGCTAACTTACTAACTTTTTATCTGGAGTTATGTTTTTCTAATGCCATCACCTAATCTTTTTTGTCAATATTTGTTAGATTTTTGTCTTATGGCAATATTTGTAGAATACAAACTGGACCTCCTTTCCTGCATTTCCAAAATGTGCTTCCTTGTACCTGAAGTGAGCATCTGTTTCACCGTTCTCTTTAATGCCTGCCTTTATGATTCACGGTGCCGTTGTAGTGTAGCTAAAATACATTTAATAAGACATAATCATGACACAATAACCACAAAGATCTAGATATAGTTTAGGAATATGGTATGTAGACAGGTAACAATGAGAATATCTGTAGATTTCCTGTCAGAGGTTTTTATAATTGGTCCATTTGTGGTATTTTCTTGGTTGTTGAAAGCTCTTAAACTCTTGCAAGAAGTAGAGTAATGGCATCCAACATCCTTTGTCGAGGAGTTTCTGACAAAAAAAAATTGTTTCCATGTACAATATCTTACCACCAGTCATTATTTTGGTCCAGATCAGATTCAGGTGCAACAAAAAATGTTCAGTGAACCCAAAAAAAAAATCTCCAATCCATGAAGCTTAAATAAACATGTAATGTACTTTAAAGAGGGACATAAGTTTCGGAGCAGGAGTTTATGGTTTCAGGTTTTAAGAAAACCTTTCTTCAACAACGACACTTAGTGTCTTGAGTCTTTTTGCCCCAGCCCCCATTTTTTTTCTCCTTCCACTAGACGATCCCCTCGCTGCGCTTACTCCTCCACACCACCAGGGCTGTCATGAGGAGTGTCACCAGGATGGGAACAACAATGAAAGGACCCAGAATGCGGTTCGGAGGGTCCCTGAGTCGCCGTCCAGTCATTGAGCAATCGTGGAAATACAGCCTGTGGATCTGGATGAAGAACTCGTCTACCATTCTGTTGGGCCAGTAGCAACTCATTTTATTTGCCACTTGGTACGTGCAGTTTGTCAGATCTTCGTAGAGTCTGCAAGGTAGAGATACACAAAACAAACCAGAGTCACATATTGAAAAGAATAAACTAAATTCTTACATCTTCTTTAATAAAAACTGACTGGGAACAAAAGTGAAGATGGTAGCTCCCATGGAGGGTTGGTTTAATTAGGCCCTTTATTATGTCATCAATGAGTTGGATACAGTAGCAGTAATTGAAAATATTCCTTCCCAGTGAAACTTCAGCTGAATGGCAGCCCACTTCCCTGCAACTCTCAGCGGAATCCCCTCCAACTTCCAGCCACTGGAGTGAACTCCTCCTTCTCCTGGGCTTGCATATTTTTTTACACTGACTCCATCCATTCACTGAATTACAGGGAAATGGCGCTTCTCTTTACTTAGACTTTATTGTAATTTTGTACATACAGAGTGTATACAAAACTAAATTTTGTTCAGTACAGCTCTCAGGACATATTCATTTTTAAAGTGCATCAGTGATAAATGTAAACATACGACTGTATATGATTTACAGATTCCAACATTTTCTTTTTTAAACCCCATTTTATACAAGATTACAGATCTTAATGTCCACACTGCAAAAAAGATCTAGAAATAAGTGAAAAATTCCTTAAATAAGTGTATTCACCCTTGATTTGAGTTGGTAAATGAGAAAGTTTGCCAATGGAATGAGTAATTTTACTCTTAAAATAAGATAATTAGATAATATGTACTTGAAATAAGACAATGCAATAGTGTTTTCTTATTTTAAGTGAAAATTGTCTTGTTTCATTGGCAGAATGTCTCTTTTACCTCCTCAATTCAAGAACAAATGCCCTTTTTTTAAGAAAACAATGACTTATCTAGATTAAGATTTTTTGCAGTGCAAAAATCATGACAGAAAGAATATTTTAGTACAAAGATGTTTAAAAAGGAATTGTAGGGGACCAGCCAAGGACCCATCAAGGAAAGTGGAGAAATTTTGAATGACTACTAGAGTATATTTAAAATCAGGGCTGTCAGAATTAATACATTAATTGCACTTTATTAAAAAGACTTTCTATATATTTTTTAAACGCTTTTCAGACATAGGCCTGTTTGTTTGTAGAGATATCTGACCCAAACTAAACCGTAGTCAGCCATTTTGTGACAACCTGAGTTTAAAAAAAAAAAAAATTTAATTAAAGAATGAAAAAGAAGTTTTAGTTAGTATGTGACAGTTTTTGTCAATGAAGACCAAATGCGCAGTACCTGGGAAACGATATGTCTCCATTAAGATCGGATGAAATACGGAAGTGCTGCCGCCCAAAAAGTACGGTAATAGAAATAAATGAGTAAAACTTTTATGATGGACACTGAGGTATGCTGGTTATTAGTGGATCTCCCCTTTTTTCTATATGATTTTAATGGACAACTATTGGCAAACAATTGTGTTTAAAAAATAGGCTATTATGCTAATGCACCAAGTTGAAATATCTGCCTGAATCAAGAAAAGGTGCAGATAAAAGTCTGGGTCGAACTGGTTTTCAACTTTAATCTCCAATCTGATTTTTTCCCACGTCAGTTATTGTTATTAAAAACAAAATAAAAAGGAACGGCTAAAAAGCAAAGGCCAACTTTGTGACCAAATATGTAGTTATCTGATTGGTTCTAATATGTTTCCATCCCACTGATTTAATACTGCCCTGCAATTGCTCTGTACCTGCTGCTTTCCACACTGATATCCCCTGATTCGGTTTAAGTCAGTTTGACCGTGGCATTTATGGAAGAATGCCATAGAGAGAAATGGCAAAATAACGTCTGTTTGCAGTTTATCCATAAACCATGCAGGAAGCAAATATATTGACAGGGATCCTCTGATTATTTAAGATCAAACAAACTTGTTTGTACTATACTTCTCTACCTGGCTAAATTCTTTCAATACAGTTTACCCTAAACACAGAATCTCCTTTTGGAAAAATAGTGGATGCTAAATCTTGGACTTGTCATGTTTTTTCTTCTGTAGAGAAAAGAAAGTGGGTCAGAGTTGATGAGGAGATGAAAACATTTACATACAGGTCAACAAATTTTGTAAAAAAAATCTTTCAGAAACTGCGAATGATTTGAAACAAGGGAGGAGGTTCATCTCCCAGAAAGACAATATACCTAAACAAACAACCAGAGGAAAAGACTATTCATTTGTTAGTTTACACTTAACAGTTGTAAACTACATTCTTAGAATCTTACACAAACATTTAAAAATTTATATTCCCAAGTTTAAGATTTCACTTCAGTAAAAGTTAAATTTACTGGAGGTTTGTATAAGGGGACTGTATATAAATGTATACACAATTTGCTGATAAAATGTATATAATATTTTGATATGCAAATGTTTTTTCTTGCCATTATACAAATATTCAGTTCCCTCTGGTTCTCTAACACAATAAAATGCACTGAAGTTTGTTGCATCATTGTAGTCAAAGCTGCATTTACAATGATTAAAAAAATAGAAAAAAAAAATTCTATCCAACACATTATTCAAAGGAGGCAACAACACTCACGGTTTATTTAATGTTGTGGTACTAATGTATATCTTTGAGAACTGCAACATTTTTAGTTGAAATGCCAACAAGCATTACATGTGATTAGCCTTAATGAAAGGAATCCTTTGCAGACACTTGGCTTAAGCTTTATCTTATAGTAACGTGTTGGAAGAGTTCATTCTGTTTAGTTTTCAATTAAAAACACATTAAGGATGCATGGATTAAGGCACAAACATTTTCATCTATTGCTGATTATAAATGTACGGTGGCTGAGAAGTGCAAAACACATTTACAATTCAAAAACACATTACCAAATAAAAAACAAAATAACATTTGAAGAAACAAAATTATATTTTATGAAACAAATGTATTTTTGAAAAAAAAGTTTAAATTTTTAAAAATACATTTACATTTTAGCAAATTTACATCTAAAAAAAAATTGACGATTCGGAAACACTTGTACAAGTGCAAAGACAAAACTGCAAGCGGCAAAACACAGTTACATAGCCAAAAACAAATTAAGAAAAGACGGCTACACGGAAAGGGAATGTCCCAGTGGCCGGATGTGACGTCACGATTACCCTGACTTGTAGTACAAACAGCTTAATCTGTAGTCCTCCTGCTTTACGTGAAAAGACAGCGGCGATTTTAGATGGAAAAAATTGCACTGAAGCTGTTTTTCTTAAGTTTACGCTAACCGAACAATGTTTTGCCCTTATTGTGGTCTCTGGAACTTTTACGGGACACGGACCAGGTGGCAGGACCAAGCAGCAGTGTTGCAGCAGCTCCGGTGGTCCTGCCACCTGGTCCGTGTCCAGTAAAAGTTCCAGAGACCATCCGCACGAAGAACAAAATGGTGTAAATTGGCTGAAATTTGCTCCACAATAATAAAATCGCCGCTGTCTTTTCACGTAAAGCAGGAGGACTACAAATTGAGCTGTTTGTACTACAAGTCAGGGTAATCGTGACGTCACATCCGGCCACTGGGACATTCCCTTTCCGTGTAGCCGTCTTTTGTTAATTTGTTTTTGGCTATGTAAATGTGTTTTGCCGCTTGCAGTTTTGTCTTTGCACTTGTACAAGTGTTTCCGAACGGTCAATTTTTTTTAGATGTAAATTTGTTTCCCTATAATGTATTTTTTTTCCTCTAAAATGAAACTTTCTCTCACCTAAAATCTAACTTATTTAAAATGTGAATTTGTTTCCTAAAATGTAAATTTGTTTGCTAAAATGTAAATGTATTTTTAAAAATTAAAACTTTTTTTTCAAAAATACATTTGTTTTATAAAATATAATTTTGTTTCTTCAAATGTTATTTTGTTTTTTATTTGTTAATGTGTTTTTGAATTGTAAATGTGTTTTGCATTTCTCAGCCACCATATAAATGTCTATAAAACAATGCCAACTTGACAAAAAAAGATTGTTTTTTTTTTTTCAGATTACAAACCTTTATAAACCAACAAAAGAGAGTATTTTGATTTAAATAAAAAAGAAAGAATATGACATGTGCATGTGCTCCTTGCACATATTTTGATTCTTTCTTGGTACTCAGGTTTATTCATGTCATTACTGTATTTTCGCGACTATAAGGCGCATATAATCGTCTTTTTTTCCCTCAAAATGTACGGCGCACCCTATAGTGCGGTGCACCCTATGTGTGTTGTTACTGCGGACGTTGTTGAGACGACCATAAGAACGTTAAAGGGAGAAGTGTGGGCGTGGATTGTGTATAAAAGAACAGGTATGTGCTTTATGCAGAACATTGTTGTCTTAACAACCCTGAAAATGGCAACGAGACACGCCTATGAAGCACAGTTTAAACTGAAGGCTATGAGCTACGCAGAGGAACATGGAAATCGAGCAGCCACGAGAGAATTCAAGATTAATGAATCTATGGTTCGCAAGTGGAGGAAGATGGAAAACGAACTCCGACAGGTGGAGAAGACGCAGCTGAGTTTTCGTGGACATAAGGCGAGGTGGCCCGAGTTGGAGGAAAGACGCTGGATGGATGAGGAGATGATAAAAGAGTGGCTGAGGGAGGTGTATGTAAGGAGACCAGGTGGTTTTTTTCCACACATCCCCATCGCTGTTAATCTGTGACTCCATGCGTGCCCATCTCACAACCGATGTGAAAAACAAGGTGAAACAAATAAACGCTGTGCTCGCTGTTATTCCGGGAGGTCAAACAGAGGAACTCCAACCGCTCGACATCGGTGTGAACCGGCCGTTCAAAGTAAGGCTGCGAGCGGCGTGGGAGCGATAGATGACCGACGGAGACCACAGTTTCAGGATAAGTGGAAGGCAGTGCAGGGCAAGTTACGCCACAGTTTGCGGATGGATTGTAGATGCTTGGGCTAACGTGTCTGCTGGCACTGTTGTTCGAGCTTTCGCATTATTTCCGAGGAGAAGCTCGGCATGGAAAGTAACTCTGACAGCGAAGAAGGGGAAATTGGCATGTCTGATTTAGCACAGCTGTTTAATTCAGAAACAGAGGATGATGACTTCGATGGGTTTG